ATTATTTGGCAGATATAGGGTAGAATAATGACAGTTTTTTTTTCTGTTATTTACCTATTATTCACCCTTTATTCATTCATTCAACCTGTGATATTATATCATATGTGAAATTTACATGAAATTCGAGTTACTGAAACTTACATAAAATTACATAAAATGTAATATTGTAATTTCTGTAACACAACTCTATGCGCAATGTCCCATCTCTAATCATACTACGTTCTGTTCTAACCATCATACTATGTCTCGTTCTAACTATCGTGCTATGCTTTTTTATATATAAACTTGTAGATAAGATCTTAATAGGTTCAATAAACTATATATTAAAACTAATTAAAGTATTGAATTAAAAGTTTAGCATAATATTGTATACTTACTTGTTTTAACACAACAAGTTTTTACAGTATTCTTGCACTGAATTGAGACAGCAACACAGCTCTACATTTCATATTAGTTAAGAAAAACTAGTTTTTGATGTTTTATTTACTTTAGCAAACCTACGTTTGTTGGGGGAATTAAATGGGATTAACAAAATTAGACACTCTATACTATCTAATAATTATTAAAAGGGATTATTCTAGAGCTTGATTTCCTAATTAGGAGGTTAAAGCAGTGAGTTAATTTAATATACGATCTACATACTACATAAATTGCATTTTGATATCTATATAACCTACTCACCCTAACTGCATCAAAAAGGTGGTCCTAAAACTCACTCCCTTTCTCCCTCGTGATTTTTATCCAATCAGATGGAAAGATTAGCTATAAACATTACAACGTACGCGTAAAAAAAAAAAAAAAATTTATACATACACTGTACATATGACATGTATTCAAACCTAACATACATATTTCTAAAATCGTGACAAACCATGACTTCTGCGAAAAAACAATGGTTCAGTAGAAAAAGTGAAAAACAATGTTGAAATTGAAGAAACAGAGGAGACAAAAAGCAATAGTGAACAGGTAGATATAGTAGCAACCAAGACTTTTAAGTTACTTGCTGTGAGACTATCTTACGAGGTGGTTTCCCTGGAGCCGATTGTCAAGAAATTGCCTTTGGCTCGAGCCCACCAGGATTAGCTTAAAAGAGTTTTTTTAAATAAGTTCTATTAATATTTCGTCGGAAGAAGTTAATTATGTACCTTATTTATTCTAAAAAAAAAAAACTTGTGCTTGGTATGCTAACAAAACTACTTAATAAGTACAATTATTAACTAATTTATTTATTTATTTTATACAAGGAAAACGAACAACATGATCAAGAAACGTCAAAGGTCATCAAAAACCTATCGAAACATCTACATAAAAAGGACCGGCTGTTAATTTCCTCCAACGAGAGAATCGATTTTTTGTCATCTGAATTGAATAAATCCAAACAAGGTTGTTCTGAACTAAATGAAAATAATTTGGACATTATGGCGCTAAATTTTTAAAATTCTTATCGAAGAAAATAAAGAACTTTCAAAAATGGATAAGGATAGTCTTGAACAAATTAAAAATCTTTTAAATTAAGAGAGTTATTTAGCAGGGATTATTCGAAATCAAAAGAAAAAATTTTAAATCATAAAAAAAGACGATTGAGTTTTTAAGAGTAAATCCATAATCATTTTTTTTTTCTTTTGAATTGTGGTTTGGGCTTAGAAATCGAGACTTCTGCATATAGTTTTGGTTTAGGAATCGAGATTCTTACTATGTTTGAGATAATATCCAAAATACAAATGCATTATATGTCATTAGTGCTAGCTTGTGACTCAGTCGGGCCAGCTTCTAAAACAATTTGTTTTATAATCATTGATTGTCGTTTTTTATAAATTTTACGATTTTTTAAATATAAAATTTAAAAATGTAAATTTCCAATTATTTATTAACCCTTAATCCTGTAATCGATCCGTTGCAGTATGTGAAAAAAATGTGTATTGCAAACAATGCTTTAATCGTCGACATGAGTTACAATAGTATTCAAAGTTCATTTACATATCAATATAGGTCCGTGTTTAAATAAATTTGACTATAATTTAAGTGAGCAAAATGAAATTAATTAGTAAATACTACTCATCTTCTAATTACAGTAATGTGAACAAAAGCAAATTGAAGAGTAGATATAGTTAGACTTAAATGCAACCCCTTAAGTGCATGACCTATGAAAAAGCCTCCTAAATACATATCTTCACTCAGATCCAAGTAATACAATACTTATAATTCTTTACCTTCCTAAGTGCAATATTTTTCTAATTGTATGACTAAATTTTTACATAAAGCCCCATCATAATGCATTTAGAGGGATCTGATTGTATTCATGAACTTGAATCACTTATTTCAATTGCTTGAATTAAAAATGCCTTTATACTCATCTTATAAATTAGCACGAATAAAATGCAATTGAATAGTAATATTAATGAATTTGAACCATTTATTTTAAATACTTATATTACAAATACTTTAATATTCATTTAAATTAGTGTGGGCAAAGTGAAATTGATTGGTAAATATAATAGTTAGTAATTAAGTTTATTTAAATCAGACGTAATAGTGCAGTCTTAACCAAAATTGCTTTCAGTTACCTCATTTTACAGCATAATAAATATGGTCCAATAAACGGCTGGCACATCTTGTCTTTAAACTTTGGAGTTTTGGTTATTTGATTTTTTTTTTGCATAATTTTGTGACAATTTTTTATTAATGAAATGTAAAGTTTTAATAAGTACTTTAAAATGTATAAATGTTACCTGAGCAATTGATTTCCTTAATCAAACAAACTTCTATCTATAAATGGCGATAACGATTAGTACAAACGCGTAAATCTATGAATGTGCAATATAGGTACGCATGTACGTGGCGTTATATCTGGAAAATATCAAAGTTACATTTTAAGTCTAGATAATATTAACCAATCACATCTCGCCATTTTTCATGTGATAATATTTGGTAAACTGAAAGTTTTATTGGCTAAAAAATTATTACAAAAATTAAATTTTGATTGGCTAAAAATTTTTTTGATGTCGAAATAAAATGGAATACGTAATTGTATGTAACACTTTCATGACAAAATTCCGTGATTTAATAGCGATAGTAAAAGCATTTATTGAAAATTATATACACGTCACTCTGGTTATATCGACATCTCCAAATAGGTTTAAAATTTCAAAAGTGTCGTTATGACCATATGTAGGTGTATCCAGATGTCGATATAACCAGAGTGACGTGTAGTTACTTCATATTACATAGTCATTTATTCTAATCTATTCTACCTTATTGCATTATATTTATACGTGAATAGATTGAATAGATTGATTGCAATTTGAAATTAACAATATTATTATCTGTAATGTCCAAAGAACTAAGTGTGAAGTTTCTGCGAAGTGCATCCGCTAATTTTCTTGCACCTTCTGTTCCAAGTTTATTATTTCGAAGATTCAAATCTTTCAAGGTACGGTTTTCGCAAAGCGCATCTGCTAATAATTTTCCTCCGCCTGATCCAAAATTATTACATTGAAGATTCAAATCTTTCAGGGTATTATTCTTGCGGAGTAGATCGGCCAATGCTTTTGCTCCTTCTAATCCAAGTTGATTATTCCGAAGATTCAAAGAAATTAGTGCAGTGTTCTTTCGAAGCGCGTTTACTAATATTTTTCCTCCTACTCCTAGTTTATTCGAATTAAGATTCAAGGAAGTCAGTGTTGTGTTTTCTCCAAGTGCGTCTGCCAATAATATTCCTCCTGTTACTTCAAGATTATTATCACCAAGATTCAAAGATGTCAGCTTGGAGTTCTGGAAAAGTGCATTTGCAAATGCTATTCCTGCTTTTGATCCCAGTTTATTCGAACTAATATCCAAAGAAGACAGTGTGAAGTTATTACAAAGCGCATTTGCTAATGCTTTTCCACCTTCTGATCCTAGTTTATTCGAACTAAGATTCAAAGAAGTCAGAGTGATATTATTGCAAAGTGCATTTGCCAAGAGTTCTCCTTCTTCTGGTCCTAGTTTATTCGAACTAAGATCCAAAAAAGTTAACGTCGTGTTCTTGCAAAGTGCATTTGCTAATGCCTTGCCACCTTCTGTTCCAAGATTATTAATGCCGAGATTCAAAGAAGTCAATGCTGTATTCTTGTAAAGTATATGTATTAACTCGTTCAAATTTTTCAATTCACATTGGTATCCAGAGAGATCCCAGGCTAAAGTACTTTGATCGCTATTTTTGAGAATTTTTTCATAAAAAGCTAATGCTTTGAGAAATTTGCCTTGTCTAAGATATCCGCGTGCTTCACTTCTCGCAAATCTTAATGCCCTTCTATATAAGTCGGTGAAAGTATCATGTTTACATATTGTAATAAAGTCTTTTGGAAATTTCCAAGCCGATTTAGTTTCTAGCAAGGATTTTTTAATTTGTTGACAGATTTTAGTTAATTCCATTTCATCAGCTGCAATAAAAACATCAAGAAGGCTAACTTTACTCATATCGGAAAATTTTCCTGTATAGATATGACTATTCATTTTGTGGAAAATAAATCAAACATATAAATTTATTTTTTTATATCTAAGAAAATTCAGACAGTTTAAATTACATATAACCTAATAATATAAACTTACTTTATAATAGTTTCAAACACAAGTGGAGAAATGTTAGGCTTATTGAATATGATGATTCCATTTTCTCTCCTTGCCCATCGTGATGACAATGCAGCTTCAAAATAACATGAACTTGCCGATAAGACAATAGAATGAACTTTAAATTCTTTAATATCTGGTTCTTCACCAACTCTAATTATCATATCAAAATCTAAATTTTTAGATTTTTCTACCAAATTTTGAATAGGTTCGTTGCTCATATTTGCGAGTAAAAAATCAAAGATGGTGCAAAGCTTGGTTTACATATCCGGAACACATAAAGATCATTATATAAAAAACACGTAATGCACATGCTTTTGTTACAAATATGGACACGCGTGTGGACTGGGCAGCCCAAGAACACCTCCAATTTTTCTGCGCAGTCGCGTGATATTACGTAATAAGCGATGATCGACATAAGAATCAGATAATCGATTTTTTTATATACTTATTATTTAACGCAAGAAAAGTTCTTTCTTTCTCAAAATACAAAGAACATGAATGAAACTGATATAATTGAAAATAATACATTACAAAATGCCGAAAGTTGATATTTATAAATAAATTTATTAAAAAAACTGTTCTTTAAAATCTTGTGAATCTTCTGTTATTAACAACTTTTAAAAAGTTTTTAGCAACCAATAAACTTACCAATTTCAAGTACATAATATCTTTATCAAGAATATTTTTATTATGAGGAATGATTTTCATACATCGGTTTCGTGTAACATCACGTACATCAATTTTTTTTTAACCAATAAAATCGCATTATTTTTTTGATTTTTTAGATGCTGATCATTTTATTTTATTTTTATTGGTCAAAATAAAATTGATGTACGTGATGTTACACGAAACTGATGTACGAAAATCATTTCTCTTTTATTATTTATAAACAGCTTAGAATTTTAATTTAACAAATAATTATGCACATTTTAATGGCGGAGTACAACATTTCTATATATAATTAGTTACAAAAAAAATTTTATATAGTAACTACAAAATATATTACTAATAAAACTTTTTTATTTTTTAATTAATTAATAAAAAATTTTATAATATTATAAATAAAATTATTTATCTATTATATTACAATTTTGAACTATTATTATTGTTTTAAAAAAATATACTTGTTTTTTAGATCAATCAAAATTTGTCTAGATAATAGTTTAAATCAAATTAAGTTTTGAATTTGATTTGATTTTGCTAATTCAAAAAACAATTGAACTTTTTCCGCTGATCCGCAGTACCAAAATTGGCACTAAACAAAATACAAACAAATCTCAAAATCAAGACTAAGAAACAACACTAACACTCTTAAGAACAAGGACTCAGCATTCCAAAAGACATATACTTAAATAGAATCAAATCTTTATTAACTTGAACGTTCAGTTCTTTTTGTAGGTCTTTAAAAATTTTCAACAAAATTTTATACAAATTGTGGAAAATTGACTTGACCCCGAAAGCAAAAGTACACAACACATGACTAGTAAACAACAACAAACAAATAAACAAACATATTTTATTTTAGAAGGGGTGATAGCTACACAACAACAACAACAAACATAAGATTACGTGTTAAAGCAGATAAGGAAACAGGCTTAGAATAAGTATTAGACAAACAAAAACCAATCATATTAGTTATATTAGATAAGATGAAAGAGTTACACAATCAAGAGATGTTATATTGCATTAGCGGACTAGATGCTAGAAATTTAAGGTTTATGAACAGTGAAATATTAACAGAAGAACTAAGAGCAACAATGCCTCATGTTCCAGATGATAGCGAGCATGTAACCAAAAGTCTAGCAATAGTAGATCCTGATAAGATCATAGCAATGGACCTATTAATTTATAGACAAATACTAAGTTTATTAAGACAAAGAGAGGGTAGAATTCCAAATAACACCCTGATCAAAGAATGGACAGCTAAAGCCAGAATGACTTATGAAAACCCAGAAATAATAAACTATATAACAAATATGAATAATGAGCAAATACAAGAAGAAACAAACAAGATGGAGGGTATAGAAAAGAAAAGCAAAGTAGAAAGACCTCAGGAGATAGTTACAAGAAAATAGTAACAAGAAGAAGAGAATCAAGTTGAAGACCCAAGACCTTATGAATCAGTTAAGCTAACTAAAAACAGTATGTACATAGAGGAAAAAAATCAGTTTGATAGAGAAACAACAAACCAAATACTAGTAACAGCTCTCTTCGAAACACCTAAAAAAGAAAATATAAATAAAACAAAACTCAAAGACAAGAAGTTCAAAGAAGATCAAGAAATTCTTCTCGAAGATATACTCGATAATAGTAAAAAAATATATAAAAAAGAAGCTTAAAAGGAAATTCAAGAGCAAAAAGAAAAAGAAAAAGAAAGCATTAGAGCTCTAGAAAATCAAATCGTGGCAATACCATTGGAAGATAGCTTGTAGTCACCTGAAAATAGAGCATGTGATCACAAAAATTCATTTAGAGCAAATATTCCAGCATACAATCTACCAGGAGATAACAAAACTGAAAGAGTAAATTATCTAAAATGGGTGCTAAGAGACAACAAGCATATCAAATCGATTAGAGAGGAATTCAAAAAAGGGAACAACTAGGTAGTAATTAACTTTGATTGTGAGTTTGGCAGAAATGCAGCAATCGAAAAAGTTAAAAGAAAAAAAGATGATTGGCTAGTTATGATCCCAGATGAAGAAATAAAAGATTCTGCAGAAGTAGATCATAAACAACCCAAGAAGCACAAAAAAGAATCTAAACAAACAAGTTCAAATGATATAGAAAAGGAAATCACAAATAAAGAAGAAGAAGAAATCACGACAGAACAGAAAATTCTGACAATTTGGAATTTACTCCCAGATGTCAATGAGAAAGAAATAAGATACATGTGCAGAAGGTTTCAGAATTTACACATAATATGAGTAAAGAGAATGCAATATAAGATGTTAGCAGTATTTAAAATAAGTATTAAGGAAAAAAGAAATATGCTCTGGTTCTTACCTTTAGGGAACAACAAGCTCATAAGAATAACTGAAGGAGATGAAGATTATAATCAAAGAGATAAACAGTGTCAATTTACAGCAAGACTGTTGGATATATCTAAAGGAGCTTCAGAGGTCTTACTCTTACGATGTTTAAAGAACAAGGGAGTGAAAGCTGTATATATTCCAGCAAATAGAAATGGAAACCAAAAAAAGTTTGCAATAATAACATTTGCAAATATTGAAGAAATGAACTAGTTCAAACCAAACCAATATGGTATAACAACCATCGAGTAATTTGGGAGAACTACCAAAGGAAAGATCCAAAAAGAAATG